CAGTTGGGAGTCACCAGAAATCGCCTGAGGGAACTTCTGATTACTACTTGGGATCAGCTTGTTATACAGATGAGGAAGCGGTTCGTTCCAGCCCATCATCAGCGCGAGATACTCAACAAACTTAGGCGCCTCGTCCAAGGTACGAAGTCTGTTCGAGATTATTATCAGGAATTGGAAACTTTGCTCATTCGTGCAGATTTACGAGAAGGCGAAGAGATGGTAATGTCGAGATTTCTTGGAGGACTTAACCGAGAAATTCAAGACAAGGTGGAACTTCAGGATTTCACAGATATACAAGAGATGGTGCATAAGGCTGAATTGGTGGAATCTCAAGTCAAGGAAAAGTTTGTAGCCTGATCATAGATGGAGGAAGTTGTACTAATGCTGTAAGCGAAGAGATGGTTAAGAAGCTCCAGCTCAAAACTATTCCTCATCCAAGGCCGTATAAGCTTCAGTGGTTGAATGACAGTGGAGCCTTGACCGTATCTCAGCAAGTGATGGTTTCTCTATCCATTGGGAAGTATGAAGATGAGATTCTATGTGACGTCATTCCCATGGGTTCGAGTCATGTGTTGCTAGGCAGACCGTGGCAATCAGATCGTAGGGTGATACACGACGGTTACACCAACAAGCACTCATTCGAGTTCAAAGGTCGCAAAATTACCCTCCTACCTCTTACGCCTACCGAGATTTATCAAGATCAAATTCAAATGAAGCTCAAGGAGAAAGAGAAAGTCGCCAACAGCCTCTACATAAACCACAGTGAATTTTCTAAACTCTTTGATCCTGAAATGACTACTTTTATGTTTGTGTACAAGGAATCCCTTGTTAGTACTAACCCTTCACAGGAGCTTCCTAGTGCTATGTTTGAGATTTTGCAAGAATACAAGGACGTTTTTCCAGTAGAAATTCCACCAGGGCTACCTCCAATTCGTGGGATAGAGCATCAGATTGACTTGGTACCAGGATCGGCCTTACCTAACAGGCCAGCATACCGAACCAATCCTGTAGAGACTAAGGAGCTGCAAAAGCAAGTGGAGGAGCTGATGAGCAAAGGCCATATCCGAGAAAGCTTGAGTCCATGTGCGGTTCTAGTTCTGTTGGTGCCAAAGAAGGATGGTTCCTGGAGGATGTGTGTAGACTGCCGAGCTATCAACAACATCACTGTGAAGTATCGGCATCCGATCCCAAGGCTAGATGATATGCTGGATGAGCTCTGTGGATCGACAATCTTCTCTAAGATCGACTTGAAGAGTGGATATCATCAGATCAGAATGAAGGAAGGGGATGAGTGGAAGACGGCATTCAAGACAAAGCAGGGACTCTACGAGTGGCTAGTTATGCGTTTGGCCTCACCAATGCTCCCAGCACCTTCATGAGACTAATGAACCATGCCCTAAGACCATTCATTGGCGTGTTCGTAGTGGTGTATTTCGACGATATCCTCATCTACAGTAAAGGTTTGGAAGAACATCTAGATCACATCAGATCGGTTCTTGATGTTCTTCGCTCTCAATCTCTCTTTGCTAATTTATCTAAATGTTCATTCTGCACTAACGAAATTGTTTTCTTAGGCTTTGTAGTAAGTGCAGGAGGAGTTAAAGTAGATGAAGAGAAGATAAAACCTATCAAGGAGTGGCCAACCCCCAAGAATATTGGAGAAGTCCGAAGTTTCCATGGCTTAGCAGGATTCTACAAGCGTTTTGTTCGTGATTTCAGCACCATAGCCGCGCCCTTAACCGAAGTCATCAAGAAAGACGTGGGGTTCAAGTGGGGAGAGGCGCAAGAACAGGCTTTTACAGCCCTTAAAGAGAAGCTTATCAATTCGCCCTTACTAGTACTTCCTGATTTTACTAAGACTTTTGAGATTGAATGCGATGCTTCTGGTGTAGGTATTGGAGCAGTTCTTATGCAAGATAAGAAGCCCGTAGCTTACTTCAGCGAAAAGTTAGGAGGTTCCACGTTGAATTATCCCACTTATGACAAGGAGTTATACGCATTGGTTCGAGCTCTCCAGACATGGCAGCATTACCTATGGCCTAAGGAATTCGTCATTCATCCCGATCACGAGTCTCTAAAGCACCTCAAGGGTCAGCAGAAGCTTAACAAAAGACATGGGCGATGGATGGAGTTCATTGAGACATTCCCCTACATTGTTAAGTACAAAAAAGGTAAAGATAATGTGGTCGCAGACGCATTATCCCGGAGGTACACTCTTATTTCGACTTTAATATCAAAGTTGATTGGATTTGAACACATTATAGATCTTTATGAATCTGATACTGACTTTTCTGAGAGCTATGCCAAATGTCATAAGTTTGCCTGTGAGAAATTTTATAGACAGGATGGATACTTGTTCTTCAGTAACCGATTGTGCATACCACGAGGATCTATTCGAGAGTTACTGGTACGAGAAGCTCATGGAGGTGGATTAGCTGGACATTTCGGTGTCACAAAGACACTTCTTGGGCTACAAGAGCACTTCTACTGGCCGAACATGAAGAAGGACGTTGAGAAAATCTGCTTTAGATGTGTCGTATGTAAGATGGCTAAGAGTAAAGTTCAACCTCACGGTTTGTATACTCCTTTGCCTATTCCTTCTCAACCTTGGACCAATATCTCTATGGATTTTGTAGTTGGCTTACCTCGCACCAGAAATGGTAGATATTCTATTTTTGTAGTTGTTGACAGGTTTAGCAAGATGGCTCACTTCATCGCTAGCCACAAGACAGATGATGCTGTGAATGTAGCTAACTTGTTTTTCAGGGAAGTAGTACGACTGCATGGAATGCCACAGGTTATCGTTTCAGATCGAGACACGAAGTTCTTAGGACACTTTTGGCGAACGCTTTGGGCTAAGCTGGGAACAAAGCTCTCATTCTCAACTACGTGTCATCCTCAGACCGATGGACAGACCGAGGTGGTGAATAGAACGTTGTCCACACTTCTAAGGACTTTGGTGAAAAGTAACCTCAAGACATGGGAAGAGTTCCTGCCTCATGTCGGGTTTGCTTACAATCACGCTAAGCATTCTGCTACTCTCTTTTCTCCTTTTGAAATTGTATATGGGTTTAATCCACAATCACCTCTAGACTTGATCCCTTTGCCTTTAAGTGGAAAATGCAGCTTGAATGGCAAGGAGAAAGCTGAACAGGTCCGAAGAATACATGCTAAGGCTAAGGAGAACATCGAGAAGAAGACAAAGCAGTATGAGAAGCATGCCAACAAAGGACGAAAGGAGCTGATTTCGAAGAAGGAGATCTGGTGTGGATCCATCTGAGGAAGGAGCGATTTCCAGCTGAGCGAAAGAACAAGCTAATGCCCAGAGTTGATGGACCATTCGCAGTCATCAAAAGAATCAACAACAACGCCTATCAGATTGATCTTCAAGGTAAGTATGATGTTTCTGATGCTTTCAATGTTTCTGACTAGCTTCCTTATGTTGCAGATTCAGATTTGAGGACAAATCCTTTTCAAGAGGGAGAGGATGATATGATCGTGACCAGCTCAGAGGAGGAGGAACCAGAGGTATCTGGCAGGATTACTCGTTCCAGAGCTAGAGAGATGGCTAAGGAGGCTCACGCACTCATAGCTGCAGAGGACATCGATCAACTGGAGGCTGGAGCTCAAATCTTCAATATCTCTATCTTGAAGAATGAAGAACCCAGTAACAATGACTAGGTAACTTAGGTGATGATTCTGTATACTTTTCCTTGGTGAGGATTTTGGAAGGCAAGGAGGTTCTTCTCCAAGGTTTTTAACGAAGCAGAAATCATTGCTACGTCGAGTTACTTAGAAGTTGTTACTAATGGGTAATAATGTGCAAAGTCACAATGACTTGTGCACTAGTTGTTTTAGGCACACCACTTAGGATTTAGAAGGGACGCCTCGCTGTTTTATTTTTTAATCAAACTTCGTGTTGTTTTTATTTCAGACTTCATGTAGTTTTGTATTAGGGCTGCGATTTCTCTCTAACTCTAATTAAGAGAGAAAATCGCCTATGTCATATTCAGTGAAGAATTTTGATCAAACTTTTAACGTGTTCTTCTCTCTTTGATTTCTGAGAACTAAAAACTCTGAAATTCGAATCTCTTAAAACTAATCTGTTTACAAGAGATTCTTCTATCCTTCATCATCATCAATTCGATTATCACACTACCACCACACTATCAATCGATCTTCGCACCATCACAAATCATTGATCCGACCGCTGCAACCACCTTCACCATCCCATCGAGTCACGCAACCAGCCACCATCACCACTCCATCGCATCATCGCTGCATCCCATCCACCACATCGCCACATCTATTGCCTCTTGCTTCAGAGTTGATCACCTAGGATCGTATCAGTCGGGTATCTGCTCTCGGCTCCGTCCAGGGATTTAGAGACGTAGAAGACCGGCTTTTGCTCTCCTCGGTCTTCTCGGACAAGGACACCGCTTACTGTCGAGGTGGACACGACGATGTACAGATACAAGGTTTCTCCGTCTTTGGGCTTGGCCAGGACGGGCGGAGTCGAGAGGTATTCCTTTAATTGTTGAAACGCGAGCTCGCACTTGTCGTCCCACCCGAACTAGTTGATGAAAGGGCAAACATTTATCAGTGGATCGCGAGATAAATCGGTTGAGGGCGGCAATTCTTCCGGTGAGACGCTGGAATTTGCAGGTGCTTTTTGGTGACTGCAATTCGAGGACGGCCTGGATTTGCTTCGGGTTTGCCTCTATCCCGCGCTGAGTGACTACATAGCCAAGAAATTCTCCCGAGGTGACGCCGAAGGTGCACTTCGCGGAGTTGAGCTTCATGCCTTACTCGTTCAGAGTTTTGAAACACGTTTTTAGGTGACCGACGTGATCACCTGCCACCATAGATTTGACGAGCATGTCGTCTATGTACACCTCCATTGTGCGTCCGAGCTGGTCGGCGAACATCTTGTTCACAAGGCGCTGATAGGTGGCCCCGGCGTTTTTGAGCCCGAACGGCATGACCTTGTAGCAGTACGTTCAGCGGTCCGTGATGAACGCTGTCTTCTCCTTATCGTCAGGGTGCATGAAGATTTGGTTGTAGCCCGAGAAGGCGTCTATGAATGAGAGTAGCTCGTTTCCCACTGTTGCTTCGACGACCTGGTCGATTCTTGGAAGGGGGAAGCAGTCCTTTGGGCAGGCCTTGTTGAGGTTGGTGAAGTCCACGCAAACTCTCCACTTGCCATTTTTCTTTTTGACCACGACCGGGTTTGCTAGCCAATCCGGATACCTCACCTCGGTGATTTGATCGGCTGCTGTTAACCTTTCCACCTCGTCATTCACGGTTTGGGCGCGCTCGGCGCCTAACTTTTGCCTCTTCTGCTTGATGGGCCGGAAGGTTGGGTCGACGTTAAGCTCGTGGCTGCATATGGCCGAGTTGATGTCGGGTATGTCGCTGGTTGACCAGGCGAAGCTTGAGATATTCTGCTTGAGAAACTCGATGAACTCGGTCTTGATGCTTTCTTTCAGGTCGGCCCCGATGCCGACGCAACGGTCGCTGTGATTGGGGTTGATGTTTACTTGGACGATGAGGTCTCGGAGAGGTTGATCTGCTCGGCTTGAATTGCCTGGAAGCTCGGGTCCGACGATGTCGCAGGCAGGAACTCCCTTGCGACTTATCGTGGCGCAGAGCAGAGTGCGGGGGGCGTTGCGGAGCTTGTGCTCGATAATGAAGCACGAACGCGAGATCCTTTGGTTGCTCCGGACTTTGAATGTACCGGACTGGTTGGGGAACTTGAGGCACTGTTGGTAGGTCGAGGTGACCGCCTTCATCAAATGCAGCCAAGGAGTTCCGAGGATGATGTTGTATATGGCTGGCCGGTCGACGACGGTGAATTTGACTATTTTTGTTACCCGACCTACGTAGACTGGCAGCTTGATTGTCCCTATTGATGTGATAGTATCTCCTGCGAAGACGGTCAGGGGAATGAGGGATGGCTTCATCTCGATGTCGTGTAGGTTCATCTTTTCGAGGGCTTCCTTGAAGATGAGATCTACCGAGCTGCCCGTGTCAACGAGTATCCGAGTCATGTCGCAGTCAGCTACACGAATTTGGAAGACGAGGGGGTTGTTGTGGGGTTGGTCGACGTCCTCGGCGTCCTCCTCGGAGAACGTTATTCCCATGCCGCTTGTGTCCTGAGCATTGGTTGCTCTGATATTTGCCACCCACATCTCTGTCGGGGTGGACTTCCGCTCGTGGACTTTGATCGAGAGAACCGAATCATTGCAGGACAGGAGACCACCCATGATCATTCCGATCATTGTCCGGGCCGGCGGTGGATACGCTTGTCTCTGAGGTGCGACCTGCTTTTGTTGTTGTTGTTGTTAGACGGGCTGGACTCTGTTATCCTCGCGAAAGGGAGAGCGCTGGCGGCGATTGTCTTGCTGAGCTCGGTTGTCTTGACGACGCAGGTTATCATTGCGACCTCGGCCGCGCAGTTGCTGCTGGTCGGGGACTCTGATTTCCCCGTTCTGGTACAGAGCGAGGAGTGCTTCCTGAAGTTTGCGGCACTGCTCGGTTAAGTGTCCCTTCAGCTGGTGGTATTTGCAGAATGCCTGGTTGTCTCTGGTAGCAGGATCGGCGGCTCGTTCTTGGATGGCCTGGGCCGGGGGCGGCGCCTCGACGGTTCAATACCATTTGTTTGATGGGAGAGGCTGTTGATAGTATTGCTGCGATGAGCTGGGTACAGCCGTCCCATGTCGGTTGTAATGCGTGTCGACTGCGCCGTGGGAGCTGTCGACGTGGAAGACAGCTGGAGCTTCTTCGACAAGACATGAGGTTGACGCGTCGCTGACGAGAAAGGTTGCGGCCTGCCTGCGCTGGTATTCCTCGTCGTAGTGCTGGCGGAATTCATGGTATTCGTCCTGAGCTTTTTCATTTTGAGGTGGATTTTTCTAGGAAGCGAGCTTTCTAAGACTTGCCCTCTCCTCCTCGACTTCGATATGTAGCCCGGCGCGGTGTAATGCGTCTTCCAGAGTGTGCGGCGCATTGAGCTTTAGTTCGTCCTTGAAGGCCGAGTCGAAGTGGAGGGCCTTCCTCAGGGCTGGGATGGCAGACTCGTCCGATACTGAGACGCGGGAGGCCGTCGCTTTGAAGCGCTCGATGAACGACCGGAGAGATTCTTTCGGTCCCTGGCTCAAGGCCCAGAGATCAGCGGTTGAGGCAGAACGCTGGATGAATATGGAATAATGTTTGAGGAAGGCGGTTGAGAGCGCCTTGAAGCTATCGATCGAGTGTGTTTCCAACCTAGAGAACCAAGTCAGGGCGGGGCCGACCAGGTTTTCCACAAAGAGTTGGCAGTGTCCGGCCTCGCGCTCTTCGAGCGTGAAGTGAGCTCGTCCCATGACGATGATGAACGCCGTTAGATACTGTGTGGGATCGGTATCTCCGGCGTATGGTGGGAGCTTCACTTTTCTGACGTGGCGAAAAGGACTGGAGGCGATTCGGTGCGTGAACGGCGTGTTTTGCGTCTTCTGCAAGACACGATCTATTTCGGGGGCCGAACTCGTGGCTTGATGGACCGTGGAGTTCATCTCACGGATTTTTGCCTTGATGGCCTCGATCTCCGCATCGCGGTCTCGCTCTGCGACCATCTGTCGGAACGCTTTCGGGCTAGAATGTCGAGGGCGCATTTCGATTTGCCAGCTGGGCGGATCTCTGACTTGGTCCGGCTGAATCGGTTGGGGAGTCGCCGAAGACGTTTCTTTGCAAGAGTAGCACTTCTAAGCGATGAGCTTCCTCGAGGTCGCGCTCAACCGAGGACCTAGGATTCTCCGGCTGGTTTGCGTGGGCTCCGCGCCTTGCCGTGAGCTCGGTGAACCTTCGGTCGGTTTGACGGGTCATCTCGTCCATTCGGTCGAGCAGGGAGTGGAGCAGAGGAGCGAGGGTGTGGTCTCCGCTTGCCGGAGTGGTCCATTCGGCTGGGGTCTGTAGAGTGACATGTGTCGGACTTGCTGGTAATGCCATTGGCTCCGGGATTTGGTGGAGAGTGCTGCTTTCCAGTTCGGACTCCAAGAGAAGCGGCGGTGCTGGTAGCTGCGGTGCTGGCACTCCGGTCTTTATCGGCGTGCCGGTCTCCTTAGGGTGAACAACCGACGAGGGCGGCGTGAGCGCTGTGGGTGTCGTGGTTGTCGACTTGGCTGTCGCTGATGATGATTTTGACATTCTTAAGGTTGAGGGCGGTGTTCCTACCATTTCCAAATCTTTCTTGTGCGTGTAGAAAATCTTTAAACCCTCCTCATTCTAGCGCCAATTGTTGATCCTGGAGATTACTAAGTATGTTTAACAGATGATGAGGATGATTAGAGATGATTTCGGGGTGAGATTTTCGTATAATAAGAGTGATTTAGCTCTGGGAGGAAGATAGAAGGTCAGGTCGGAGCCGTAAGAAGTGTTTGTAAGGAGAGAATAATTAGTGTTTCGAACTAAGTCTGGAAAGAGTCGAGTTTGGTGCTTTTAATATTGTTACAGCGAGCTCGGTAGAGAGACAAGTGTATTAGAGTAAAGAGAGAGAGTAATAAATTTCGGATCCCCTCATAAATGATCTGTTGAGAGTATTTAAAGCGGGAGCCGGGAGATGAGTTTCCTCAAAATCGGGGTGACGTGGCAGCTTCAGCGCATCTCGCGGGTATGGCATCTCGAGCCGCGCGTCTGAACCACTTCGCGGTAAGTGATGATGGTCCTTCGCCGAGCTACTTGCACGTATAGGCCACTGTAGACAAACTGGCCTTACATATGGCAGGTTCTGCTCGGATCCACACACTGTAGATCGGCGTCGTAATGATGACGATTTGGCGGGGCCATGCTGACCGGACTCATTGACTTTGACTGGATTTCTGTTAATTTGGTTTATGAGCTTTTATTATCCAAGATAGGTCTAGCTAATTGGAGGTGGCTCCAACACTATGTTGGTGATCAAATGTTGAAAAGGAGCAGGGTAGTGCATGCATCTGTTGATTATTTCTTACAAATTAAACCCATATCCCGGTTCAATATGAATTTAATTTGGGTTAATTCGGTTTAGGAAAAAAACCAATTGTTTCTTTCAGGAATGAGACTGAGAACCAAATCCAATCAGAACCATAAAAAGCCTGAAGAAGGTAGAAATTTTCCGGCGAAGAAACTCGCGTTGTTCAATCGCTGATCGCTGCTCTCTCTCTTTCGATCGAAATTGGATTCTGAATAACTTCTGCTTGAGAAAAGTTTGATTTTTTTGCTGCGACGATTTCTTTGTGTCTGTGTCTGGTGGATTAAGGAAGCGTTTGGAATTGATGCGAAACACTTGTTTAGGGTTTTGTGTTAGGGGTTGAAGAACAATGTCGTCTTCTTCGGTAATTACCCCAGAAGACGTGCTTGAATCTCTTATGAACGATGGGACCATCGATGCTCTACGATTAAAGATCATCAATCAGCTCAAAGCCAATGTAAATTTCGATTCATTCTCTCCAATTTTTCTTGGTCGAACCCTTTTTATTCCTATACTAATCATCGCAAAAAGGAAATTTTAGATTGATTTGATTGTTTATAGAGGATATGAGGCTTTTTCTGTGATGCTATTACTTATGTCTTAAATTCAGAGTATAAGCTACATTAGATCTTTGCGAAAAACAAAAAAAAAGCTACATTGGATCTTGTCATTAGAAGTAATGTTTTTTTTTCTGTTGTGATTGTAACAGGAAGAGTTAAAGAGCACAACCATTAAAATGGCTGAGGAGAGTAGAGTTCTTAACACACCGGGTGCTGAGAAACAGACTAAAAGAGAACTCTTTGATGCTCTTCGCCAAGAACTCGAGTAAGATTCTTCTCTTACTTTCTCTCTTAGAAGAATCTAGTTCTGGTGCATTTAGTTTTGCTTAGCTAGTTCTGTATATGGTAAAGTATTTGCAAAACCTTTCTCTGTTGTCTCTGTTTTCTTGCAAACTAATACATTTTCAGCAATGCACATGCTTATATGGATATCGATTTTTCTTAATTCTGCGTCACATTCTTAGCTTTAGGCCATTAGTGACGGGTATGTCTTCAGTTCCTTGGAGCTGCAGTGTCTATCTTGTTCGTCTGGTTTACTCTCTTGTTGTCATATGTTTTTTTCTCTTTTAGATGAATCTTTGGTGCATTGGTTTTTTTTAGCTAGTTCTGTCTATGATTAAGTATTTGTAAAAAACCTTTGTCTGTTGTCTCTGTTTTCTTGCAAACTAATACATTTTCAGCAATATACAAGTATACGTGGATATCGAGATTCCTTAACTCTGTTTCACATTCTTAGCTTTAGGCCACTAATGATAAGTAATGTTTTCAGTTCCTTGGGGTTGCAGTGTCGATCTTGTTCGTCTGGTTTAACTCTCTTGTGGTTATGTTTTTTCGGGAGAAAGTGTTGATGAAGTATTTTACCATGTTTCTTGTTGCTTTTATGAGCAGAGGTCCAGTGCTAGAGAAGGCATCAAAATCAGTTTGGGAGTTGATTCTTGAGAAGGATGGGTTAGGGAAAGAGATAAATGAAACTGTAGAACGCGTCTTTTGTCGTCTAAGCGGGCGAGAACCGCCCTTGTTTTCATCAGCAAACGTGGAAAACCCGATGGATATAGAGAAAGAGACAGAGACAAAGGAGAATAAGAACAGCTCAAAGACGAAACCAAAGAAGAGAAGTCTTAGTGAGGTGAGTCCCTCTGAAGGTATTGATGAAGTCGAAACCACGAAGAAGAAACAAGGAGATTCCTCTGTTTTACCTTTGGAGTCTGGAGAAACGCCTTGAGCCTTGTAGGAGATATTGATCATGTTCTGTTGTTCTGAGTCCTCTGATATAGACTTGCAGTTTTATTATGACATTTCTCTTCTCAACAACCTCTAATTTAAATCTCTCTTATTTTATTATATAAACTTTGATGTTTTAAAGTTAATTAACAAAATTGCGTTAATTTTTTTATAGTTAATTAGAAGAAACAAATATGATACTATATAGTATGTCTAAAATTTATATTGTATAAAACAACATTAAAAAGGTTTAATAATTCGAAGAGGTGAAATTTTATGTAATCATTGAAATTTCTACGTTGCACGGAATCGCTCGGAAAGCATTCTCGCTTCGGAATCGGAATCGATCGAAACCGTTGGGGAATCGCGATTTTGAAATTTTACCGTTTAGAAACGCTGAAGATTCCGAGTTAGAATCGTGTTTTTCGTGATTGGAAGCGTTGCTGCAAACTTTGACTAAAATTATAGAAGAAGATGATCTGTCATTACAATTTTGTTAGGTTTAATATATTTCAAGCTCATTAAATCATCATTATCGTTTTTTATTTTATTTTTAATATTACTAGAGATTATTCCGGGCTACGCCCTGGTATGTTATTTATGAATTTATTCGCTATTTTAGTATTATTGTAGTGTTTGTGAATTTATAGATCCAAAAACAATTGTATTTTTAAAAATAGATAACTAATAAGATAATTTTTAACTTATTTGAAATTTAGAAACTTTTCATATGAAATATTCAGCATAAGTACACATTTTAGTTTTTTGCAACATATAGTTTAAATTTTATGTTATTCCTTAACTAATTATCACCAAATGTATTAATGCATAATAACTATTTAATTTTTATCATAATTTTATATTACTTTTTGTAGAGAATAATTTTATAGTAAATCGAGTTTAAACAATTTATACTATATAATATGTGTAATATCTTAAAGCAGACAAAGTTTGTATCGTTAAACATATATATATATATATAAAAAAAGCATTTATGTTCATCTATTACCAATGCTTCTTTGTTTGTTCACATTTTTAGGGATTTGTTTCATCTCCATCATTTTGACTGAATAAGTTGAAGCCAGTTTATGCATCAGCATCACAGTCATAATATGTCTTACTCAACTCAAACGTTTTCTATATTATTGCAATTTTCCATCCTTGAAAACAAAAGTTAGTTGAAAAGCCACTCAAGCCAAAGTTCTGGAAATTTTAGATGTTTGTTTAAGTTTCTTAAACCACTTAGTATATATTAACTTAAAATATAGTAAGACATTTTTCTTATTTGAATTGAGGAGAATAAGTTTTTTTCCCCCTTTTATATGCATTGAGCTTGAAGATCTTTATTAAATTTTCTTAGAGTTTGGTGGTCCTCAATCCCATCTTAGTTTTACCCTTACTTTGTTTTTGACGACTTTGATTGTAAACAAACCAATCTCTTGAGACTTGGAACTTTGATCATCAGGAAGAACCAATAACCGCTCTTACTTTATGTCTTCAATGAGTCTACCATTTCCACTGCAGATTTCCTCCTCCATTGCATCCACTCTTGATATGTAACAAAGAGATTCAGTGAAACAGATTTTGATATGTGATAAGATATTAAATGGTAAATTAAGTGAAAATAGGAAAGCATAAATAGAATGAAATCTTGATATGTACGCTCCTGATAATCTAAATTTCCTTATGAGATCCTAATGGCATATATGATGTAAGCTCTGTTGACGTCGAGTAGGTACTAAATGACACACTCTTGCATTGCAGCCACAATGTAAATTTACATGCTCACATTGTATCTAGAAACAGACATGGGGTGGAGAACATTAATGGGAGCATGTTCACGTAATGGATCTAAACCATCATGAGCGATAATAGGAATTTGATCGGACTACAAAACACACATTAAAGACAACTTCATATATTTGTATAGATAACTACAGGTAATTAACTCCGGATCAGTAGACAATGTCTTTCCTATATCTTACATCTACTTGTCGGATTCCACTTGTTTGGCGCTTCTAATCTATCACGCTCCATCTCTACAAAGTAGTTTTTACATCCACTTCATCACTTTTTGCCTTGTCAGCCTCTTGTTCGTTTCATCTTATTTGCACCTGTTTCTCTGATTATGGAACAGAAAACAAATAAAACAATTGTCAAAGTTTTTTTTGTTTGAAGATTCAGTGGGGTTTTCTTTTATTTAACTGTGCTCCTAATAACGAAATAATTAGAGTCTGGAAGAGTAGAGAATAGACCTCAGAAACTGAAAGATGTTCCACTCCAACAATTTGGAGCTTCCCTAAGGTGAATAGGCCTTCTTTGCAAAAGTCCCATAAGCTCATCAAAAATCTTGAAATTAAGCGGCTGGATAGCGAGAAGTACAGCTGCAGAATCCATGACTGCCTGTCTTTAAAACGCTTTGTGAAACACTGAAACGTTGTTGTTGGTGGTGGATTAACCAAGGACCTGATTTTATAATCTACCCTAAGAATGGAGACGAAGCGTTAACGTTCGTTGGCACAGATAAATGAGATAGGAAACACAAATCGTCTGCAACTCATCCGTTTGTAAAAGAATTAGGTTATCGATGGAAGATGAAAAGTGTGTACATTGTTGATAAGAATTGGGCCCCATTAGAAACTAACGATTGATGAACATATTTAAGATAATCTGTAAGCCTTCGCTATGTGATGACATGACATCTCCTCCTGAATTTTCTAAGCTGATGTGGACACCTTGAGGAGCCTCAAACTTCTACTTTTATTAGAGTAGATTTAATTAAACTAATTATTTGTATAATATATTTTAAGCCCATTAAACCCATTAAGCCATACGCTTCCAACACGTACCGCTTCTTAAATTTTTTAAAAAATTCGCTTCCCCGATTCTAAACGCTTCCGCTTTCGCTTCCGCTTTCGCTTCCGCTTTCGCTTCCGCTTTCGCTTCCGCTTCCGCTTCCGCTTCCGCTTCCGCTTCCGCTTCCGATTCCATACAGCATTTAATCCAATTACACTGCATAGCCTGTATTAACTTTTAACGGTCAACTATTATTACAAATCTGAGACTATCTTTGTTCCACAGGTATTATATTTCCAAGACACCGTGCATGTTTGCCTTCCGCTATTCAAGAACGTAATTTTCACGGTTCCCACGGGAGGACTTTAAAGTCGTCATAGTTGTCTTTCTATGTCAATATATAAACATGTAAACTCTTCACTATTCATTTCCATATTCAATATAAACAAGTATAGTGTTATATATACAGACATGTCTCTGACTGTGGAGTTGCTTAGCGGGTGGGGGAGTGTCGAAACGATAATAGCTACAAAAGAAGAACAAGTAGATGAAGCCATAAAAGCATTGATGTCAAATTCCTCAAACCAGGAGAGTGTGATCGGTCTAGACATGATACCAATTCGAGCAGCACCAGGATCATCAACATCTGGAAAAACCTCAAGTGCTATCCTCCAGCTATGCGACACAAGCAACTGCCTTGTAGTCCGGCTTCATTCTGTCAATGCCGTGCCTGAATCTCTCTACAACTTCCTCATCCTTCCAAATTTTACATTCGCGGGTTTTGGTATAAAAGATACAAAGGTTAGACTCGAGAAGGATTATGGCTTAGTGTGTAAGAACGTCTTTGAAGTTGGACCAGCCATGTGGAACCCCTCTTGTCAACCCTTGCGTCAACCCTTGCGTCAAACGATGAAAAATATGTGTATGCCACCAACGAGTAGGATCTCTGAACCCTGGGGTAGTAATTTCGAACTAACGGAAGATGAGATCACAGTTGCTGTCTCAAATGCTTTCTTTGCATTTTGTAATGCCGAAACAATGCTTCACGGTTGGGAATTTTAATCGATCATTTTGTGTTAGTGCGTTTGAGAGTTTTATTTTAGTTTGTTTTTTTCATCATTTTTTTTGTTCTCTTGTTATGTTCTTTCAGATCCTTGCCGTATAAGATCCAATGAGTACGGTTTTATTTTATGTTTGGGGAGCTAATCTCACGGGTGATATGTTCAAGCTCACTTATCAAAGTGCCAATGCTGCTTAGCGTAGTGGAGTCAAATTCCTCACCTTAATATTTAGCAAGTTTCAAGTACTATGTTTTTGCAATGTAGTGTGTTAGAAAAATTATATCAAGACTAATCTAAATAATAATATAAAATTGATTTCTTAGTTAAACGATTACGCTTGTTTGCTTTAATTGACATTTGATCTACTGGTTGATTAAGAGATAATTAATGTTTATATACTAAATCTTAGGTTCAATTCTTAGTGAACGTAATGATTAATGGATATAAATTTTCCGAAGGTACGTTCGCTGTGCCGTTCATAGTCTCGTGTGTCAAGGATAAAGGTGTCAATTCTTTGTTGTGCATGTATAATTGACTGTTCGGGAATAGTTTTTATTTTATTTTTGAACATCAATTTGTGGAAGTAGTTTGTGGAACCGTTGGCCGTATTTCCAAGTGTTGTAGGAAATTTGAGTCCTTCGTCATGAATGTCAAGTCAATCATTTGTAGTATGTTAAAATAGTATCTTCTAATGATGTAATAGACTACAAAAAAATTGATTTTCATTTTGACATATTGAGAATCTTTTCATAATATTTATTTATAATCATTTTTTTTTTTGCTTTTAAGAATTTGAAAAATGAAATTGATTATTTCATTATTTATATCTACAAGAATCATGTAAAATAGTTATTAATGTTGAACGACTATATAATTGAATTGTTAGTCATCAATTTGCATTTTTATTCCTTTACGGTTGGTGCGAAAGTACCAATATCATTTCACTCTTCACAAGATAGTAGTAAGATACCACGAATAGATTTCTTATATTATACCAACTTCCCTTCTTTCGTTTTTTGTCATGATCCTTACGAAAGGTATTTTCAAACTTAGCAGGAAATTTTTTGTACTAAACTACAGTATGTATAACAGTTCCATTAATATCTTTTGACCTTCGGAGACTTGAATTCTGTCAATCCAATGCAGGTTTTCATTCCTTCTCTGCATGTCTGAGAACTTTACGATGAAAAAAAACTGATATCATTATATTTTTTTTCTCAGAAATTATCAAGGAAAAATTTTAGTATTTAAAAAAGAATCTAAAAAGCTAAATTTTAAATATAAAAGACAAATTGTATAATTTAGAAACATAAACATCTAAATTTAAACATCATCATACAAAATAAAAACCGTTAAGATAAATTCGATCTTTTCTACGTGGATAATCACGTGCTTACACGTGGTGTTTATGATTTTGTTTTGGTCCCTCAGGACCAAATTAGATCTTGGGTTTATGACCCAATGCGACCTAAGCATAAGGCACATGCTTCGAAGCCATCAAATTCGGGAGATTTGACATGAATGACCACCTATTATTGGGTTTCTTGTACCTAATAGCGCAGACCACGCTATCAAGGACAATGAGGTCAAGAACTGAGTTGTTAGGAGGAGGAGAAATTGCCTTCTTTATGTCCTAAACCTTATTTGGAAGGGTCGGGATGTAAAGAAGAGTTATCCACACAAGTACCTTGAGAGAAAAAATAATCAGTAAGGCAATCCTGACACTCCGGTCCTAGTATCAAAGGATTCAGGCTAGATATGAAAATTTTCTTAAGCGGGAAACATTATTCAAATTTCATTCCATTCAACAATTGAAATATGAATTTGACTGATTCGATTCTCCATACCCTTATAAATCCAAAAGATTAATGCTCATGCTTACACGTGTCAAGTGACATTGACCACTCACAAGATGCAGACAAAGACAGAGGTTTAACAAAAGCCATACCGCGTTTGAACCGCTCAATCCGTACAATGAGAGTGACACAGACATGCTAAGGGCTGGTCTCGCAACAGGCGGAAGACGCCAAGGAAAGTTGGTAATACCGTCAGAAGTATGATGCATGTAGTAAGATTCTGGTCCAATCGTGATAGATCCCCAGACTGATCCGCAAAACCAACAACCCGAGCTCCAACTCGGTATACTAATCCGGTTCAGGGAATTTTTTCTATAAATATAACCCTTTCCAACGAGAAAGGGGTTCAATCTCTTTGCTATTTTTGAGTTTATGATATCTCTCTAGATACTCGTAACTCAAAGGATAAACACTCTCATTTTCCGTGTCATCATTCCGACCACTTTCTCATTTTTATTCCATGACGGTTCCTAAACCGTAGAGTATGTTCACCCCTAAACTCTTACACTTTTCTCTTTTCCACCTCAAAAAGCCTACTAAACTCAGGCCCATGTGGATTCAGCCTTTCCTAAGAGCTCACGGCCCACTCTCTTTTTTTTTTCTCTGATTTGCGACTTCGTGGTCTTTTCTTATCCATTCTCTGACTTAAGTATAAGAGAGCCATCGGAAAACACTTTACTATCGTATTTTCCGGGCCTTCTTGTTTTCTTTTGTTTTGTAGAAGACTTGCCCTTAAGAAGACAAAAAATCCCCTAAACAGTTTGGCGCATAGAAGGAGAGGGCCAACACTCTCCTAACAGAGAACAAACGCAAGTCAAATGTAACAAAAAAAGAACACCAAGGCGAGGAAGGATGAAAACAGTCCACCAGAGAATAATAACATGGGAAGAATGGTAGGGGAAAGCATTCACTAGACCGACAGGCCCACCACACTCTTCTCTAGGCGACCGGAAAATGAGGAACATTCCTTGCTCCATGATGTGAGTGCAGTGGGCAACAAAGGTTTTACCCTAGACAAGCTGCAAGTGCACAGAAAACACAGTAGTAATTAGGGATCAAATCCACAGAGATCTGTGTGTTGAGGATTCCTAATTGATGCTAAAAACAATCATAAACCTAATCTAATAAAAAGGGGTTTTGGTTTGTTACTAAATATAATTATGCAGAGAATTAAAAAGAACTTTAAGTAAAAATCGGTTGAAAAACAGTAAGGAAAAAGGCGCTGGGTTCAAGGTTCATCTTTAGGGTTCATGTTCTAAAAAACAAAAATTTAGGCAAGAATTTTCTATGACTCTGAAACTAGGATAGACACATGTAAGATTAGCCAACTCTCGTCACCCTAATCATCTAATCACTTATTCATCGCAATTAACTCTCACTCTCATGGCAGAACAAGATCATGCGTTGTAGATCGGAATCCATCTCTGCTTACGTATCCTCCATAGGTAGCTTTCGTCTCCTACGACGGAGACGTCTATAAGATCCAGTTCAGGCAACCCAGATACAACACTCTCGTGGCTCGGATTAAACCTAGGATCGGATTCTGGGTGATCAATCCAGAATTACCGCTTTGAGATTTGGATGAATGGGAAAATCATGTTAAAAATCGAAATCCTTTTTTCTAAAAACCTAGATGTCATTCTAACATGGGGTCCCTTTGAATTACCCTTTCACCCAACTAGGTGACTACTCAGACATGGCTGAGGTAGACATCATCATCGGTTTAGAACTAAGAAGAAGAAAAGTAAAAGAAACAAAGTTGCAGAAAAACTTCTCTTATTGAAGACAGAATGGCGATGGAGAGCTTCTACAAGTGCATAAAAATAAAACCTAGAACTACAAATGAGTTCTCTCTCAAAGAGAAGAAAGAGACCCCCTTACAAAAGACCTAAAAATGAGTATTTATAGTGTTTCTCCAAGTCTTGGGCGTCTAGGGCTTGTAAAATGGGTGCAGGAAGTGTCTTGGGCCTTAGTTGGGCTCCTGAGGTTCGGACATAGGTCCACCAGGGTGAAACTTCCTGAGCCGCGGTGGGAAGAAGGCTGGCCGCGGGTGAAAGCACTTGTGCTTGTCTGGACTTGTGTTGATCGGCCTTCAGTGCATTGATGATATCTTGAGATTTAACCGTTGGATTGCTTTGATTCCAAGTGTGTTGGAAATCTGGTTGTCTCCTATATAATGTCTCCAAATTTGGGGATGATCAGACGGTGAGAAGGTCTTCATTGGTTGCCAAACTTCTGACGGCCTGAATTTATCCAAAAATGTACTTTTGCTCCAAAATGTACTCCAAAGTCTCAAGTTTCCTGAAAAGCCTTTTAAAACTCCAAAAAATGGAAAACACTTATAAAACCTTTAAAACTGAGTAAAAACACCTGCATAAGTTATTGAAAGTTATCCATAAAAGTGGTCAAAATCAGGTGTTATCAACTCCCCCAGACTTAAACCTTTGTTTGTCCTCAAACAAAACCACAGATCTGAACCTGGAAAAGAGGTTAGAAAATCGCAGGAACTAACAAAATCTCAGAGACCATGCTTCTAAACCAGAGTTAGTCATTATGCTCAAATCAAGGATAGGTTAGAAAATGCTCACCAAAGCAAAAACATAACTAGTCCGTTGATCCGTCATGCGAAAGTCTACACACTTAAACCTATCCTCCAGTCAACTAGCTCTTAACATTCATTTATAGGTTCCAGTGGTTCTCATCAAAAGGAGTTTAGCAAGGCAATCAAGGCTAGGTATTCAAAATGGCTGTTTAAAAAGTGTTTAGGGTTACCTTTTTATTTTCGAAGAGACAAGACATTATGCAAAACAGCAAGAGAGGGTGGAGCTGTTGATATCCACAGTTTCCAGTCACATTCTTCTTGCTTTAAGATTCTTGATCTCCTTTCTTCAGGTTCTCCTCATAACTCCCCCAGACTTAGATTTTTGTCCAGGTTTTAAAACCAATGCTCACAATTGAATACTTGCAGCCTTTGCTTCAAACAATTTCGTCTACCCTAGACTATTTAGGCTTTTAGTTTCCTTTTCTTTCATCCTTTTTCTTTTTTTTTTCGATTTTTATCTCTTTCTTTTTTCTTTTTTTTTAGAAAGGGGAAACCGCTTTTGGATTGAGAGTCTTAGGAAGAACAAAATTACCTTTAAATTCAAGCTTTTTGAGGCACCATTGAGCTTTGATAGATTCTTGATGCTCCACTTTCCCAAATTCTTTCAGTCTTCTTCTTGAGTGACTGAAAACCATGTTGCTGCTCTCTCTCTGGCGTTTTTGCACATATCTGTCGATATAACTAAGGAGAGAATGCATGAGGTTTAAACATAAAGGTTTGGGTA